AGAGAGAGAGAGGGGAAACATAATAGTTTGCTGAATAGAGCATGATGATGTATTTATACGGAAATGATGAGGGTAACACCTCATGCAATGCATGGCATAAAATAAACTCATCATATGACAAAATAAAATCCGTACATTCATGCATAACATAAAAAGAAGACCTCCATGTCAAAAGTGAGAGGTTAGAGTAAGAAAGAATCGTTTATGGTTCTCGTTCCCAATTGGATTATGTGACAAGACTTGAAATAGACTTTGTTGTGGGTAAATTGGTTAGATATACCGATAACCCAGGTCAAGAGCATTGGAATGCAGCCTATACGGTCTTGAGACATTTCAAAGGAACCATAGACTTATGACCTACAGTATGTGGACGACCCCACTTTTTAAAAAGAATATTACTATGCAAACTGGATTACGGATTCTAAAGAATCCATGACTACTAGCAGATGAATCTCCACTTATAGTGGGGGTGTATTGCTTGGGATTCCAAGAGTCATACCAAATTCTCTAGATCCACAAAGGAATATGAGATAATTGCCTTGGAACGCGCTAGCGAAGAGGATGAGTGGCCATAGGTAGGGTTCCCATCACCCTGTGGCATATATTATATGGCCCTCAATGCCATCCCTCTATCTGTCTTCCAGACTTGTCCCTTGAAAGGGCTTTTATTGATGGATTTGCCAAGTTGTAGTTTGAACGTACATGGAGCACTAATATGACTCCATCTTCAAGCAAAAGTGTCGACTATTGATACAATAGACATGGGCTCCTAAAGAAGTGGTTCATCTACCATAAAGTTCCTTATCACTCTCTCTCTATCACTAAGATTTTCTATCTCTAAACTTTATGCTTTTTGCTATTGTGGTACCGTACATGGTAATGGATGGCCACTCCATGAATACAAAAGCATTATAATGGTCTTAGGTGCTTTATGGTGTGCGTTTTTCCTCGTGATTAAAAAAAGAAAAATTCCTTTTGCGCTCTTTGTTTATGTGATTTATCTAGCATGAGATGAAAGCAATTTTATGATCATTAATGCAGGAATTTTTTAGGATTCTTTCTTGTATCATCCATTGGATACAATGTTCTGAATCTTTTCATGTTGTATCATCCATTGGATACAATTTTCTAGATCTTTTCGTGTATCATTCATGAATAAATACAAGTAAATTTATTTATGCATCTCATACCCAATCAAAGTCTTTCATTTGTTATTACCGATTGGAAGGAATTTTCAGTGAGAGAGATATTTGTTGTTATTTTAGAATTTTATTTCCATCGATGTTTATTGGCATTATTACTAATTGAGAAACATATCAGTATTTTGGTTGTGGTTGTCAGGAGTTTGTTGAGTGTGTAACTCAAAGACCTAGTTACAGTAAAATTGATTTGACTATCCTGGGGTGTACTAACTGGGACTGATTGCAACTCAGAATTTTACCAATTCTAGAGAGTTTAACATTTCAAAGAAAATGAATTCTCTCATGCTTTCAGATCCTTGACTCTTGGTCTAATTGAACTTCTTTGACCAAAATTTGAGGTCCATTGACCTTTTTACCAAATTTGTGAGCATTTTTGTTGTGGTGATCCTTTTTGCTGTAGTAAGCACTTTTTCACGATGGAAAACCTTTTTCAGAGGGGTAGATCTTATCACCGTAGTGAACAAGTTCACTGGCATGTTCTACAAGCTTTAAGCTTGCTTTCTTTTTGCTTATGTGGCCAAGCCACCTTTTATATAAACAAAATTACCAACAATTTTAAAAAGAAGGAACATACTCAAGGTATAGGTGGTTAGGGTGGTGGGTGCTACAACATGATGTCTTGAGTTCTGTTCCTACCCTGAGTAGCGGATCTTTTTCCCACGGATCTACCCGAAAAAAAAGAAGAAGAAAGAAAACTTGAAGAAAACGAAATATAGAGCATTCACTTTCTTCATCATTTAAGAGTAGGGATGGTTTGCTCTCTTTGGAGAGTTTGACATTTACAAAAATCAGCAAAAGATCATATATTATGATTTATCACCGATGGAAAAATATGTGATTTGAATGGCAGTTATAATATGGAATAGTAGTTAATGAGCCAGGATGTGATCTTGCTGAAAATCAATTGGAATTCACGGTAAACTAGATTGGTCAGATAATTTATTTCTGTTTCTGGAATTAAGTTTCATAGACAGTTTTGATGAACTTTAATGCGTGCATAATTTTTCTTTGTAGTTTACATGGTAGTTGCTGGATAGTATTGTTTTCTTAGCTGAAGTTGTTTTTGCAGAGCTGGTCGATATGAAGTTGATGGATATGTCTATAATGCAGAGGAGGAGCCAAAAATTCTGATAACTGGCAAATGGAATGAGGCAATGCATTATCAGCCCTGTGATTTGGAAGGAGAGCCACTTCCTGAAACTGAACTTAAAGAGGTCAATATTGATTTCCTTCTAACTCAACCTTTTGAATCCTTGCTTTTCTTTTGCTGCAGTTTTTGCTCGTACAAAGTACTTGTATGCTAAATTGGTCAATTTTTTCCATGCAATATGTAGAGCATGAGAAAATATTTGATGCCTTTAGTCTAAATGAAGTTATGAACACATCTTGTTGCTTTTTATATTTAGTCTGCACAATATGACTTCTATAGTGTTTGTGTTAGTGCTGTCTTAGTATCACTATGTCCAATATGCGGACGACACTCTCGTCTTCTTTGGGGCCTCTGCCCAGGAAGTTGACTCCCTCCAACTTCTCCTCAAATGCTTTGAGTTTGCTACTGGTTTTAAAGTCAATATGGCCAAATCCAAGATGATTGGGGTGTCCGTAGACCTCTCACGGTCCAGGAATTTGTGGATAGATGGTGATGCCAAATCGATGCTTTGCCATCCAATTATCTGGGACTGCCTCTCTGTATTGTTAAACCCAAAAAGCGATGGTGGGCCCACATTATCAACAAAGTTGACCGCAAGCTTATGGATGGAAGGGTTGTTACCTCCCTCTGGCAGGCAGTATCACTCTCATTAAATAAACTTTAGCTAACATCCCGGTCTACCAGATGTCGTTGTTTCACATGCTGGCAGCCGTGATCCATTGCCTTGAACAGCTCATGAGAAACTTCCTTTGGTTAGGGGAGAGCGACCAGCAGAGGTATCATCTCATTTCGTGGGCAAAGGTCTGTTTGCCCAAAAGACTTGGCAGCCTCGGCATTTGTTGCCTTAGAAAATACAACATTGCCTTACTCGGCAAGTGGTGGTGGTGACTTGCCATCCAAGATAACCATCTTTGGATACAGGTCTTCCGACACAAATACCACATTCAACACTTTGAATGGGTGCTAAATTGCAGGGTCAACTGTAGATTCTCAGGGGCTTGGAGATTCCTTCTATCTGCGCTCACCATTTTCAAAGCCAATATCTGCCTAAACCCTCGAGAGGGCTGAAGGGTGGGATTCTGGTCGGAACTTTTGATAGGTCACACCCCACTTCAAGATCTCTTTCCATCACTCTTCCTCCTAGCCCACAACCTACTTGCTTCGGTGGCAGATAACTTTGCAATTGCTGGGTCCTCTAGTGTATGGAATCCTATCTTCAGGAGACCACTGACAGAACTCGAATGTGCTGAATTTCTCAACCTCTCCTCCCTCTGTACACTCCATGTTTCTACCTCTCTCCGCGCTGGATCAGATTATATGGTGCCTTCCCCATCTAGCCTTTTCTTGTCCTTTTCTTTTTACTAGTCTCTTACAAACCCCCACTTTTCCCCTCCCCAACCGCCATCGCAGCCAAAGTGTGGTCTTCCATAGCACCAGCCAAGATCCAAGTTTTTAATTGGATAGCACTGTCCGAAAGAGCACTCATGGTGTATCAGCTGCAAAGACAGGGCATGCCAACCCCAACCGTTGTGTTTTATGCACCAATGATGAGGAAAGTAATTCCCACCTCTTAATTCTTTGCCCTTTTGTCGGGATCTTTGGGTGCCCTTCCCAATTGTTCAATTGGCAATGGGTCACTCCAAATCGATCCCCCTTCTATTAGTTCCCTTCACCCCCTCCCGTGGCCCAAACCTTGTGTAATTTTGTAAAAGGCATCTGTGGCAGCCACCCTCCGGGTCATCTAGACAGAGAGGAACAATAGAATCTTCCGCGGTGAGAGAACCTCGTTGGTGAAATTATTTGATAAAATCAAAACTTCGGTCATTTTCTAGGCGACTAATCACAAGTGCTTGAAGGGAGTCCCACATTTGGCCTTTTTTCTCAATTGGCAAGATTTCTCAATTGGCAAGACGTGCTGTTATCTCGCCCAGTGTTTGAAAAATCGGCGATCCAGATCAGGAATCGCCCAAGCCGTCTCGGATCCAAGGAAAAAACGGGATTCGATTGATTTTTAACGCTTAATTCGCATGCTGACGCCACATGATGTCACAGATCGCAATGCCGACATCATAGATTCCATGTTGACGTCACATGATGTCACAGATCGCAAATGTTGACGTCATAGATCGTTGGGTCTGGCGCGTCTGTACCATTTTATTATTAAAAATCTGATGTCAAATGATGTCACACCATATTAAAAAGCTCCTAGATATTCCCACCCACCTTTTGCTTGCGTGGAAGAAGCCTTCACACGTTGGCCCTATTCCCAAACAACTTTTTGGCTATGATGTTGTTGCACTTCACTTTATATGCCTTTTTCGTCCCACATCTCTTCGATGTGGGGCAATTTTCATAGCCCAACCCAAACAATGATGGCATTGAATGAGCATATAGATTAATACTATTAGGTAGGGATGGGTGGGCTCTATGAATAGATTTTTCTCTCTTATATAATGATATCTATAAAATGAAATGGTCAATAATTCTTTTTAAGATTAATTATATTTATTTATTTTTAAGATTTATTCCTTTTTAAGATTAATTATATTTATTTCTTTTTTATAATATACAAACATAAAGTAAATATAATTAATCTTTAATTATATATTATTACAAAAATAAAATTCCATATAATTTACAAAAATTAACATAATTATATGAAATTGTTGTACTATCATCTCATGGGATATTAAAAAAAGCAAAATATAATACTAATACTGGTTTATTGAACATTAAAAAAAAAAGTAGTTTATGGGATATTTGAAGAGAAAAAAATAACCCAAGCTCATTCCACTTTAGAATTTATTTCAAGTTGCTTCGTCAATTATCTCACATTGCAAATATGAATTTCTTTATTTATTTTCCTAATTTATTAAAATATGATTGCAAATTTATGTTACTAAATTCTATATTTCTATCAACACTAATTATTATACATTAAACTTATTTATTTGTGAGGGTCGTACCCTTGCTTTTTTAATCACGTTTATTATAATATTGTAATTACCAGTGTTTTAAAATGTGTCTGCATCGCCGCATATGCAGCCGGATCATGCGGTATGCGGTGGGAACAACATCTGCACAAACCGCATATGCGGTTTTGAGTTATGCGGCCGCATATGCACCGCATCAGACCGCATCTGGCCGCATCAGAGTTGCATCTGGCCGCATCGTTTTCTGCAAAAAAAAAAAATTCAATTGTGCCCCTAGGGGAGGGGAAAATGTTCTTTTTGACCATAAAAAATTGGGGGAAACAGTTAGGGAGGGTATTAAACCCCCTAAACGATCATTTACAGTCACTTTCATGGCTTTTTTGGGATCAAATCGAGAAAAAAAAAATTTCGGCGGAAATTTTTTTTAATTCAGATCTTGGATTTGGGGATTTTTTGATACTTGGATATTGATTAGAACCTTTTGATTGTTGGTTTGGGGAAGTTTATGTGAATTTGTGACAACAATCGGGGTTTCAGAGGCCATGAAGAAATTTAGCACTAAAATTAGGGATAGTGGATACAAACTTTTCGACAACTTATAATTTTGGAGTTAATCATTAAACTAAAATACCTACTATCACATATATCACCTCCATATTTTTTTCTATGCATTAACCTATTTTTTTAGATTTTTTTGAATTTTTTTACATTTATTGACCGCATCGTCGCGATGCCCCCGCATCTGGACCGCATCGGCCCCCCCACCGCTTTTGGCCGCATCCCGCATCCCGCATTTAAAACTTTGGTAATTAATAGTTATACTAATTACAATGATAATCAAATCTTATATTATATTTATTAATTTATTTACATTATAAATTATGCAATGTATTATTTTTTGTTATAGTTGTAAATTAGATTTTTAAATTAGATGATATTAGAAGATAAATTTCAAATTTATTCTTATTTTTATAGTAAAATAATGATAAAATAATAAAATACAAACCAATAATTCTAATTTCAATATATAATATTGTATTTAGTTAGGTTTTAATAAATGTTTGATGAGAATCTTCATGCAGGAAAAGAACATCTCAATATTCGCATATTGATGCAAAAAAATAAACGTTATTAATGTAGCACCCTTATTTCTTATTAGATTCCTAAAAAACATCATTTATAATGATTTTTAATAAATTTTTTGAATTTTTTTTAAGGTTGAATCTAACCGATTCTCGATCTTAAACACTCAGGGTTTGAAAACTCGCCGAGTCAAGCCGGACTCGCCCGGTTCGACTCGGGAATCGTCTGCTACCAAGCCGCTTTCACGAAAAAATCGGGAAACGCCCGTGTCCAAAGAAATGACGGATCCCTAAAACTCACGCTTTGTTCTTCACAGATCGAAATATTTGTGATCAAAATCGATGATTCTACTACAATTTATTGACTGAAATATTTTAAAAGATTAAAGTAAAGGCTGAAAGATCCGATTAAAAAGTTGAAAACGATGAAAAATGACAAAAATCATGAATCTCGTGAAGAATCGGTATACCCGTGCCGGTTCCATTGAAATACGGGGAAACACCTGTGTCTAGAGAGAACCGGGCGATTCCCAACAATAAATTGCCGATTTACAACAGTGAAACACGGGTGAACAGTATTCATCAAGGGAATCATTGATTTTTGTCATTTTTTGATAATGTTTTTGCTTTTTCAGCTTTGTAATCAAATCTTTCAGCTTTTTCTTTAAGATTTTCAGCCTTTTCAGTTGATAAATTGTAGTTTAAATCAATAATTTTGACCACAAATCTGTGAAGAACAAGGCGTAAGTGTTAGGGTTCCGCCATTTCTCTGATTTTTCACACAATTAGGTATCATTTTTTGTAAAATCTGAGGGTTATTGATCTTAAGAGTGTTATTTAGAAGTTCTTATTCATAATTTGCGAGTATTTTGGTCCATTACATCTCAGATTTGGATTTAAAGCCACAGGTGTAGAAAAACAGGTAAGAACTGCCTTTTTTTTTTCCGCCATTCAATCCATTTTAGTCAATTGTTTGCAAATAATGTGTTAATATTATAGGGTGTTGATTCCTTATAGTGTTATTTATCATAACATATATTCAATTTGAT